CGTTCTCCCAGAGGAGAGCGCCGCCGTGAAGTGCGCAGAGGCCGAGCGTAAATCTACGCGCGCGCGTGACATTCGTAAATTGGGTAAATTTCGTAAATGTCGCAAACTGCGCAGAGAGCGTAAGTCGTTTTACGCGCGGACGTAACTGTCGTAACTGTCGGGAATCGCGCAGAGATGACAAGTGAGTTTCTGCGCCTATGTAAACTTCGCAAACAAGAAATGAGCGCTCTCCCGGAGGAGGGCGCCGCCGTGGAGCGCGCGCGCAGAGATCGCGCGCAAAATTACGCGCGCGCGTGAATTTCGTAAATTTCGTAGATCTCGCAAGCTGCGCAGGGAACGTGGGCAAATTTGCGCGCGTGCGCAGATGTCGTAAATTTGCAAAATACGCGCGTGTGCGTCAATGTCCGGGCGCGGGGGCGCCGGACAATTTGCGGAATTTTCCATGCTCGCGCCGGCCGCGGAGAAATTAGCGAAACGTTCCGAGCCCGCGCCGGCCCCGGGGAAATCAGGGGCATTTTCCAGACCCGGGAACCAGTCTTTTCGCGACACAATTTTTTCAAGCAGGTTTTGAACTTAGGCGCGCTGGCTAACGTCCCTGAGGATAGGTCTGCTGAGTCCTCGCGCCAAGCCGCAATTCGCGCTGCAGCGCGCAAGGCAATTGCCGAGCGCGACGTCGGGGGTCGGACGGGGCGCGGTGCATTCCGAATGGCCTTGCAGTTTGCAGGTGAATACCAAGTTGGTGACGTAGCACGTTTCCGCGAGAGTCCGACTGAGGGCGGAGTCGCAGCCAAGCGGAGCACAGGTTCTCCAATCATCGGGTTTGACGGCAAGAATGCGTGGGCCATCGCCGAGGGGTCTCTGGTTTGCGTCGCAATCGGAAGCTCTTGCGCATCAATGTTTCTTTCGTCGTCGCGGCGGCGACCTAGTTAGTTTTGCCCCCCCCCGGAGAATCGCCGACAATCGTCCCGGGCCGAATGCGCGGAGAAACCGGGGGTTTTTGAACCTGAAGGCCGCCGGGGAGACGCGCGCCCTGCTCTCCCAGGAGATGCCGAGGTAGATGCAGCAGTGGGGGGGTCTCAGCCCGCTGTTCTATTAGATGATATGAGTGAAGAGGCTGAAGGTGATGCCATGAATCCCCCAGACGAGCAGTGGGCATCGCGGCCTCCGCATGTGATCGTCGCGCCGTTGCAGATATCTCTGCTGGGCGATGTCCCGCGCGGGGCGCGCGGACGCAACGAGGTGTTTCGCAGGAGATTCGAGCGGGTGCATCAGCATCAGTTGCCGAGAGGATTCCAGGAGATGTTTCGCCGGACTCAGTCCTGGAACCAGGGCCGGAGCCAGCTGGCCCACTGCTCGAGGCATGGCGCATGACAGGTCACGCAGGTGCGGTCGTGGATCTGCCTCAGAACAGGACGGCCTCTATGCCTGTCGAACCACGCGAATCACCTGTAGGGTCCTTCAATGAGCGCGCCATCAATAAGACCCAGTCACGAAAGAAACTAAGGAAGCCCAAAGGTTTGGCATATTATGGTGAATCAGAGGGCGCCAAGAGCGGATTGTCACTTGCGAGGCAAGGCGAATGGGGAGAGTGGAGACAGTTCCATGCTGCAGTATTCTTGGGCGAAGAATATGGGGCGTTCCCGACATAATGGGTTGATTGCGATGAAAACGAGCATCCTCGCAGTGCCAGTGGGCCACCGGTCGTGCCAAAATGCAAGAGCAGACTTCTTGTGCGAGGAGATGTAGAAGAGTCGCTTGGTACGCGCGCGGATTCGCGCGGAGGAGGTTGGTAATATTTTGGGTTGCAGGCGCGAACAGGACTTTGAATTTTGCCGACATTGCCTGTGCGCGCTTCCCGGGGCATGGACTCGACAGTCTCATGATGCCTTGCTACCGCCAGAGTGATTAGATGGAGCCCCGAAGGGCAGATCGCTTATCGCCCGGGTGCCCGTCTGCGGAACCCGTTGCGTGGATGGAGGTTCACGGGGGAAGATGCGTCGAGGTTTCGATTCACATGGGTTGAGAGTTGAGAACAACGCATCGTGCCAACTCTCTTCGGCGACGCAAATGACGAAAAGGATATCGCGCGCGCGATAGGTGCCCGTGTAGATGATATCTCGCGGGCCGCGGTCAACCGCATCCAACCGTTCATATTGATTCATGTCTGCGGAGTCTGATACCCGAGAAGTTGAATCGGGAGATGTCCGCAATTGCGGATAGGACATTGTCCGAGATGCGAATTATACTGTTCGCGTCAGTGCGAGGGGTAACGTTGAGAAGATTGAGTCTGCAATCTGTCCCAGGGATAGCCCCCCTTACCAGGAAATGTAATGCAGGAGAGGCGTCCCAACTCTGGTCAGTCGTCGAAGCTCTACCACGGGCCACCAGGCAATGCAAGCCACTTGCCGACGCCAGTCGGTCTGGAGAGACCGACGTCGTTAACGGTCAGCTTGAGCAGCTCAAATCACAAAAGGGCTAGATCCACCTGTCTGGCTGGGCCCGGGCCTGTCGAGGGGAACAGTGGTCACGCTCGCCCTGTATGTCTGTCCTGTAGAGTCAGCAGACGCGCGTGCAAATCCACCCTTCAGGCAGAGACTTTGGCATGTCTTTGGGGTGTAGAATCCGGTGTGCGCATTCGGGCAGCAATCGCCGACGCTCGTGGCATGCTTGGTGTCAGGCGCAAGCTCCCCCCCAGATGGGGGAGAGACTTCTGCGATGACTGCGGGGCATCTGTGGATGACAGATTGCGCCGCGAGATATGGACCCGTGGACAAGAGGAAATTGAGATCTCACAATCCGAGACTTGTCTGTGGACAGATACGGTGGATCGACGCCGGCACAATGGCAGCGGATTGTCTTGCGAAGGCTGTGCCTGGTTATTCATTCTTTAGTAGACGTGTTACGTATAGGAACTTGTGGTGTAACACAGGACCCGGAGCCGACGGCTCAGAAAGCGAAGATGCAGCTGGCGAGGGCCAGACTGACCACTATTGCACGGGATAAGTACTATCTCATAATGAGCATGATCCCGACAGAGGGAAGTGACCGCATTGAGTGAACGCCATCTTGCTTCGGGAGCGGTACTGGGCCAATTGGCCTCTTTTGAGTTGTTCTCTAGTGGGAACGCCTTTTCTGTCTACAGCTGCCCTTTGGTGGCTTGCGAGTTTGTGGAGTTTGTTGGCGCGATGCGCCGCGTTCAACCGGTCAGTTCGTGACAAAGTCTCACGGGTGTAATATAGTGTGTGTGTGTGTGTGCATGACCCTTACGCGCGCCATTCGCTGCCGTTTGACCTTCAAATTCTTCTTTTGCCAAGGAGCAGAAAGCATTATACATCACACTGGTGGTGGTGGTGATGTTGCTGATGCTGCTGCGGCTGATGATGTTTATGATGATAATGATGATGGTCGTCGCGATGCCGCTGACGACGAGGATGGGGATGGTGATGCTGGTGATGACGATGACGATGATCATGACATACGGCTGTGACGATGCCGGTGATGGTAATGATGATGCTGCGAATGGCGATGACGGTGATGATATGATTATGCCTATGGGGATTGTGATACTGCTGCTGTTGTTGATTTTGGTGATGATGGCGGTGGTGGTGGTTATGACGATGCTGGCGATGATGATTCTGTTGAAGATGAAGCTGCTGCTGTTATGGATGATGGTGGTGGTGATGTTGATTGTTATTATGGTGATGCTGATGCTGATGATCGTGATGCTGCTGGTGATAATGGTGATGATGTTGACGATGACGATGAGGACGAGGAGGAGGAGGCAGAGGACTGTGGTGATGATGATCATGATGACGCTGATGACGAGCTGGCCGATGCTGTGACCGACGATGCTGATGCCGATGCTGATGCTTATGTTGGTGATGATGCCGATTATGATGAGGATGGCGAGGAGGATGAATATGGTGGTAACGATGACGATGATGATGTTGATACTGGTAATATTAATGATGATGGCGATGCTGACGACGATCATGATGTCGATGATGGTTTTGCTGAACACGGTATTGATGATGCTGCTGTTGTTGATGATGCCGCGCATGAAGATGGTGATGACAATACTGCTCATGCTGATGATTCCGATGTTGCTGCTGCTTGTGATGGTGATGATGGATGATGATCGCATCGATAAACGGGGGGACTGGCCAGGCTTTCGAGTCCTACATCATCAACGGTTGCATCATACTTTACTTGCGCCGCGTCAAAGAACAATTGCTGACACACATGCTGGGGATGGTGCAGCGGACTATGTTTATGTTTCTGCTGTTGATGGCGATGACGATTACGATGTTGGTGTTGTTGCTGCTGCTGCTGCTAACTATACACGATGAGAACAGGATTATCAGACTGAGGATATGATGTGCATGATGATGAAGGGGATACTGATGATGATGAGGAGGAAGGGGCTGAAGTTGCTGCTGATGATGATGATGATGCTGATGGTGCTGGTAATGATGCTGATGATGATGATGATGATGAGGTGGCGGCGGAGGAGGAGGAGGAGGAGCATGACCATGATCAGGAGTGAAGGGATGAGGACCAGCATGAGGCAGAGGAGGATGATGAGGAGGATGATGAGGAGGAGGAAGAGGATGACAACGAACATGTGAAGGATCATATGATGATCCAGGGGAGACGTGGAGGAGGAGGCGGAGGACACGGAGGAGGAACAGGCAGAGGCGACTCCAGGAGGCGGAAGCCGAGGAGGAGGAGCAAGGGGAAGGAGGGAGCACGAGGAGGCAACGAGAGTCTTCTGCTGATTGTCCTCCCCCTCACGCTCCGTCCTCCTGCCTCCTCTCCTCACTCCTCCCTTGCTCCTCCTCCATCCTCCTCCTCCTCCCTCCTCCTCCCTCCTCCTCCTCCTCCTCCTCCTCCTCCTCCTCCTCTTCCTCCTCCTCCTCCTCCTCCCTCCGCTCTCCCTTCCTCCCGCTTCCCGGCTGTCCGTCTCTCTTTCCCTACCTCTTTCTGCCGTCTCGTAAGAGGTGCGAGTCGGCGACGAGGACAACTCGTACAGTAAGGAGCAGACGCCCAGGGACCACCCGAACAGGTACCCTGCGAGGTTCCCGGGCCGCTCGTCGGTGACGTCGTCGCCCACGGTGCCCGAGGAGCTGCGGAGGCTGGCGTGGCAGACGGACCAGATGCGTCACAGGTCCGAGTCCGATATGGTGCGAGTCAGGGACTTCGGGCGCAACGCGAGGGGGGACTGCCTCGCGGGGGAACGCATCGACTCCAATCGCCCACTCATCGCCGAGAAGGGGGCCCTCTGAGCCCGCCCCGCCAGGAACACTCGGTTTCTCTACCGGGGGCCTACAGTCAGCCCGCACAGGAAGGCTGGGCGAGTTCCCCAAGGCTACCCTTGCATCCTTGCCTCCTGGGCCCATCCTTGGCCGCTCTCGCTGGCCGCGCCCCGCTCGCGAAGTGTCGACATGGCCCGCCGAGGCCCTAGCATGCCTTGCCGCGCACCCTTTCGATGCCAGTGGACTGCCTCGGCGATCTCTCGGCGACTCCTCGCCGATCCCAGGCCGATGCTCCGCCCCCCCCCACGAGCGGGCCTCCCCCTGCCGTTGCCTTCAGGACTGGGCCGCCTTCTCGCAGCACGTCAAGAGCCACTACCACAGGCACTTGGCATCGCTCGGACGTGTGCCTTTTTCCCTCGGCGAGGACCGTCGAGGAGCATCCTTGATCACTTGGCGAATAAAACAAATCTGGGACACCTGGTGCAAAGCATATCCTGGTGACGGGCCCAGCCATGTGCAGGCGTGCGCACAGCAAGGCAGGCGGGACGGAGGATTGGGAAAGTCCCTGTGGGGCCAGGAGGAGGAGGAGGAGGAGGAGGAGGAGGAGGAGGAGGAGGAGGAGGAGGAGGAGGAGGAGGAGGAGGAGTGGACGTCCGAGCGGTGGCCACGAGGCACGGCATCGAGGCCGTGCCCTGGGCCACGCACGGCCGCGGCGCGCCCGCGGACCCGCCGCCCCCGCCGCGGCCGCCGCGGCCCTACCCCGCCTGGGTCGCCGCGCTCCTGGCGCCGTGCCGGCCGCTGCCCGGGGTCGACCCCGCGCGGGAGCTCGCCGAACAGATCGCTCCTCCTCCGCCTCCCCCCTCCTCCTCCTCCTCCTCCCTCCTCCTCCTCCTCCCTCCTCTTCCTCCTCCTCCTCCCCCTCCTCCTCCTCCTCCTCCTCCTCCTCCTCCTCCCCGCCCCCCGACGAGTTCTGAGGGGTGGGGCGGCAAAGAGGGGGGGGTCGACCCCTCGCGGGAGCGCGCCGCAAAGTTACGTCGGGCCTGTCCCCCTACAGGGGGAATTCCCCAACAAAAATAGTCAAACAATACTCCAAAAATAGTCTGGGGACTATTTTTGGAGTATTGTTGATTTGATTTTTGTCGAAAATTCCCTGTAGGGGGACAGGCCCGACATAACCGTAAAGATCGAAGAGGGAAAAACGCCATATGGCGGGTTCGTGTCGTGTTGACTCGCTGCGACCCAACTGCGGGTGTTCAATCGGGGGCGGAAAACAGGGGGGTGATGACTAGGGGGGGGGGGGATATCATGGCGTGGGCCATGCTATTTCCCCAGATTTCGTGGCGCCCCTTCTTCTGTCACCTCGCACCTGGCCCCCCCGCTGGGCCGCGCGCACGCCGCGGGTCATGAGTTGCACCCCCCCCCTCTTGGACACCCCCCGCTTTGGCTGCTCCCGGCATATGCAGGGTTCGTGTCGGGTCGACTCTCAGGAGGGGAAGCAACACACAGACACAATTAATCGTGGATCCCCAGGAAAATATGGGAAAAGATGGGAAGTGGGGGGGAAGACAGAAACCCTGAAAATATGGGGAAATAGGGGGAATCATTTTATTTGTGTGTATTTATTCGTGTGTCCTTGGGCCCCTTCATCGACTCGCATTGCGACCCAACCGCGGGTGTTCAAGGCTGAGAGCGCCGCCAGTGGCCCAGAGTCGGCCCAATCTGGAACGAGCCGGCAGGATCCACTCCTCCTCCTCCTCATCCTCCTCTTCCTCCTCCTCCTCCTCCGCCAATCGTTCAAGGTCGAACGATCCGCGCGGTGTCAGAAGCCAGCGCTGGGGTCGTCACGACGCGAAGTCGCCGCGACCACAATTTTTGGGCGCTCCGCGCAGGTTTCGTGGATCCGCGCTGGTCCCCCCTCCGCGGCGCCTCCGGCGCCGCCCATGGCGCGATCCGCGCGCCAGGGAGGGGAATCCGGCGCGGATCCAACAAATCCGCGCGGAGCGCCAGGAGTTGATATGTGTGTGTGTGTGTGTGTGTTTGTGTGTGTGTGTGCAGTTGTTTGTTTCTTCTTCTCCTTCTTCTTCTTCTTCTTCTTCTTCTTATTTTTGTTAGCTCCTTCTGCTTCTTCTTTTTAAAAATCCTTCTTCTCCTTCTTCTTCTTCTTTTTCTTCTTCTTATTGCTTTTCGAAAAAGCATGCGGGTCCTGGAACCGCGGGCCCCGGTCCAGGTCGGTTTCAGCCGCCCGGCCCCCGTTTCCCCCCTCGCTGATTAGAGGGCACTGCCAAACCATCCTGGGCATGTCCTCCTACAGGGGGATTTGGACGAAGAGTCAAACATAGGAGAACAATAATCGAAGATGGTCAAACATGCTAGACACATTATCCCCAGACTATTTTTCGAGTACTTTTGAATATTCCTACTGTAGAGGGGCAGGCCCGACTTAAGACAAGGGCGCCCCTGTCCCTGAACGCGTCCCCAGGGAGCTCTGCGCACAGGCCTGGCGCCCGGCGAGAGTCAGCATCGCTTAACCGACCCCCGTCCCCATCCCCATCCCCTCCGAGGCCCCCACCGAAGGACCCCCACCCGTTGGGGAGGCGCCCCTCGAGGCTCGAGGGCAACGGCCCACATCCCCATCTAGGGGGGTAAATCGGCTAGCGGGGCCCAGGCCACGCAGCTGGGGCAGGCTCAGCAGGTTTTCCCGCACTTTTGCGTGGGGAATCATCCGTCTGAGCTCGCTCCCGTCGATAGACCCTCATGTCCTGCATCCTGCCGTTGCTCTGGCGATCCAGGTCGTATCTTCCGTTGGGCAGCTTGCACTCCGCCGTAGCATGGATCCAGCCTTTGTGTCGGCTTTGGTACCATACTGCATCGAGGGATCGGACTAGCGATGCTCAGATTATGTCGGACCTGTCCCCCTTACAGGGGGACTTTTGACGAAGAATACAAAACATATACCCCCCAAATGCCCCAAACATATGTTCAAAAGTTGTTAAAACTTCGTCCCCACACTATTTGTTTACAATGTTTGAGTATTCCTCCTGTAGAGGGACAGGCCCGACGGAGTGCTCAGAGAGCCTCCCCCGGGGGCCGAGACGTCGGAGCAGGACCCACAAAATCGTATGTCGGGAGCGAAAGAAGGACGTACACGCACATGTTGGGAACCCCCAAACCGGGTGGTGAGATACCAGGTGGCGACCTGGAATCCCCCAAAAGGTCACCGCTGGGTTTGGGGACACGGGGTCACCTTCGGGTTTTGTGACTCCTGGACCCACCAGTGTTCGGGACATCTTCGGATAACCGCACGAGTCCCCAAACCGGGTGGTGACACCAAATCGCCCGAGACTCACCGCCAGGTGTTGCCACGTTTGGGGATTACCAAACATGAATCCACGCTGGTTTCGAGAGCACGTCTTGCGCAAATCGTCGTCCAGCGCGGCCAGTCTCGCAGATCGAGGGGCCGTGCTCATGTACATGGCTGGGCGCGCACGTCCTGTGGGCTCCCCAGTATGGGGACGACTCTCCGACTGTGTGTTGACTGCTGTTTGGCATCTCCGGGGCATCTCCCTACTTCTCGCCCAACCCCCGCCTGCAGGAGGACGTGCCCGACCCGAGGGTACGGGGGAAGCGCTTTTCCGCGGACGCCCCGCGCGGAGAGCGCACCCGTGCGACCGCGCACCCGCGGGGATCGCGCCCCGGAGGCCGGGCCGCCGGGGCGCGGATACGCACCCAGAGATCTGAGATGTCCTGATGTCTCAGGAGGGAAAGAGACGCACAGACGCAATGAATCGTCGACCCCCAGGAAGCTATGGGAAGATCTGGGAGGTGGGGGGGAAGGCAAGACGCCAGAAACATATGATGGGAAAAGAAGGGGACTCCTTTTTTCTTTGTGTGGATGTCCATGGGTGTGTCCTTGGGCCCCTTGAGTGTTGTCGACGCGGGGCCCCTGGAAGCCCCGCTCTTGTCCGCAGGGCCGGCTCCCCCTCCCGAGCCGTTTCTGCGGACGGCCCCAGGGCTCGGCGAGGGCCCCATGGCCAGGCCAGGCCGCGGCAGCCCTTGGCCAAGAGACGCCCCGCTGGCCTCCGGGCTGCCGACGGGTCTCTATTTCAAGGGGCCCAAGGACACACAGGTAAATACACGAAGAAAAGGATTGCCTGTATTTTCCCCATGGTTTCGGGCTTTTCCTCTTCTCCCCCACTTCCCATACTTTCCCAGATTTTCCCGGGGAGCGACGATTCATGGTGTCTGTGTGCTTCTTTCCCTCCTGGCTCCTGGGCCTCGACGGCTGTGCTGTGGAAAGCGCGGCGCTCCCACGCCGGGAATCGGTGGGCGTCCTCGCAGGCCCAGAGGTTGACACCAACACCAAGATCGGCGGTGTGCCTCCACCGAGGGAAGAAGATGCCAACCTCGGTGATGGTGGTAATATTCTGGCTTCCAAGGTGACCGAAACATTACCACCAGCACCGAAATCTAGGATCATCTTCCCCCTGTGGAGGAATCCCCCTGTCTTTGTGTTGGTGCCCATTTTGCCCATTTCCAGGCCTCCAAGTCCTGGGGTCCCAGGGCTGGGCTTCCCGTGGAGGGTTTCCCGTGGGCCGGCCTCCGCGGTGCTCACCATGACGCGAGGGGGGTTGCTCGGCGCTCGTGAGAGGTCCGGGGCCCCGCGTCCCTCGGGAGGGTCCGCTGGCTCACCGGCCCGGAGCACACCCCCTTGGCATCGCTCGGACGTGTGCATTTTTTCCTCGGCGAGGGCCCTCGAGGAGCATCCTTGGTTATTTGGCGAAAAAGCCACGCGCGAAACCGAACAAAGCAATGGGAATGGACGTCCGAGCGATGGCCAGACCCTACTCTCAAGTCGGGCGTGTCCCTCCACGGGAGGAGTATTCAGAAATTGAGAGAATTTGCCTGGCGAAAGACCCAAACATACGCAGTTGAGAGCGCCGCAATTGTGAATCTCGTCTTCGGTGGAGCTCCCTATGAGGCCAAGAACCGCGTGAGGGTTGTGCCGATGTATGGCGGGGAACAGAACGCGGAAGAAGACGGTAGGTCTGATAACGAGAGCCTGAGAGCGGGTGAGTCTGAGCACGAGTGGGTCTGATTGTGCATGAATCTGCGTGCGGGGGAGTCTACGTGGATGAATGTCGGCGCCCATATCGGCACCCCCCTCGCGTGGATCGCCCCCGCTTCCTCCCGCTCTTTTTCTCCCTCTTTGCCCGCGCACTCCAGTGCCCAAGGCTGCGGGCGCAGCGCAGCACGGAGTCCCCGCGACGCGAGCTGGTCGCCCCGACGGGGTCCCAGCAACGCGCGCGGGTCGTCCGCTGCGCGGAGCAAGGTGAGCTAGCTGGCTGGCTGGGAGCGGGCAAGGCTCTGGGCGCCGGGCAGAGCGACGACGGGCGAACGAGGCGCTGGGCAGTGCGCAGCACGGAGTTCCCGCGAAGCACGCTGGTCGCCCCGAGAGGGTCCCAGCGACGCGCACGGGTCGTCCGCGGCGCCCGGCCGAACTGTGGGACAGCCTGGATATGGCGCGGCTCGGGCGGGCCGCTCCCCAGGTCACGCCTCGCGGATAAACTCGGTGAAACCCAGCTCCCTGGCGAGGGTCGTGGCCTCCCTCCTGCACCGCTTCGTGCGCGCAGCAAGCTGCTCCAACTGCTTCCGCAAGCCCGCCGGCGGCCCCGCCAGGAAAAACTCGATGCGTGGCGCCCGCATGAGCAGGAGGTCCTCGTGGCGCGTGGCGCGCGAGAGCAGCACGTGAAGCTCCAGCCACCAGTCGTCGTCGTCCTTCTTGCCGTTCCCGATCTCGTGGCGGCCGCAGTCCGGGATCACGCCTGGGCGACGTCGGCCGAGGGAGCAGCGCGTGGGGCAGCCAACGGCCCAAGGCGAGAATCCACATAACCAAAAAAGGTGTGGCTGCGGATCGCTCGTGCCCAGGAGGTTTGGCCGTGGACTGCCCGGGGGGCGCTGTTCCCCCGCCCCGTCGCCTTCTCGCATGGTGCGCCCCTGGCACGCCACCGTGGTGATGACCCTGCCGTGCGAGAACGGGAAGCCCGTCCGGGTGACCTTGGAGGTGCGGAGCGTGAGCGGCTCCGACGTGCGAGGCTCGATGAACACCAGCGGGCCCGTCAGGTCCCCTGTGAGGGTGTCGTCGTGGCGCTTCAGGTCGTCCACGGAAGTGCGCTCGCGTACTTCTCCATGCGCACCCAGAACCCCAGCGGCAAGTGCTTCAGGTAGATCCTCTTATCCCTGTCTCTCTCGGCCCTCTCGACGTCGCCACGATCCCGAGGGTCCACGACGACGTGCACGATCCCCTCTTCCTCCTCCTCCGACCTCCTCCTCCTCCTCCTCCGTTCCTCCGCAGCCCACTCCGTTCGTCCTCCTCAGAACTCCGACGGCCTCCGACGCAGGTGCCCGCAAGTGTCCGGACGCATCCCCGAACCCCCCCGAGGCCACCGGTGGGCCTGGAACGCCCTCGACAACTCTCGGGCAATAACGCCAGTAGATCGGGCACCCGGGCTGGTTGCGGCGATCGCCCCTGGAACGCTGTCGGCGAGGCGCAGCTGCTGGGTTACACATCGCAGCCTTCAAAAACGAACGCATGGAACGAACCCCACCTTCAGAACGCCGCCACTGAGAACTCCGGTGGATCCCACGAAACGTGTCAGGGAGTGCCGACATGGCGGTGACGGTTCCCTATGGGGCCGCGAAGCGTTGTCCTGGGCGGGGGAAGCGCATGCGGACTGCGCCACTGGGGCCTTCGGTGGAACTCCCTATGGGGCCACGAAGCGCTGTCCTGGGCGGGGGAGACGCATGCGAACTGCGCCAATGGGGCCTTCGGTGGCGTTCCCCATGGGGCCACGAAGTGCTGTTCTGGGCGGGGGAGACGCGTGCGAACTGCGCCACTGGGGCCTTCGGTGGAACTCCCTGTGGGGCCACGAAACGTTGTCGTGGGCGGGGGAAACGCATGCGAACTGCGCCCCTGGGCCTTCGGTGGGGGTCCCTGTAGGGCCACGAAACGCTGTCTTGGGCGGAGGAGACGCATGCGAATTGCGCCAATGGGGCTTCGGTGGCGTTCCCTATGGGGCCACGAAGCGCTGTCCTGGGCGGGGGAGACACATGCGAACTGCGTCACTGGGACCCTCGGTGGGGCTCCCCATGGGGCCACGAAACATTGTCCTGGGCGGGGGAGACGCATGCGAACTGCGTCACTGGGACCCTCGGTGGGGCTCCCTATGTGGCCACGAAACACTGTCCTGGGCGGGGGAGACGCATGCAAACTGCCCCACTGGGACCTCAGGTGGCGCTCCCTATGGGCCACGAAGCGCTGTACTGGGTGGGGGAGACGCATGCGAACTGCGCCACGGGGACCTTCGGTGGAGCTCCCCATGGGGCCACGAAGCGTGTAAGGGGCGTGCCGAAACTGATGGCGATGATTGTGACGATGACGGAGGTGATGATGACGACGATGGTGACTGCGACGATGACGATGATGACGGCGATGATGATGCTGATGGTGATGACGATGATGATGCTGTTGTTGATGATGATGATGATGATGATGATGATGATGATGATGATGGTGATGGTGATGATGATGATGATGATGGAAAGAGGGAGGGAGGAAGTGGAGGAGGAAGGAGAGGAACGCGGGGCACCGTCTCTTCAAAACGAGGACCCAACACCACAGGATGGTTGCGTGACGATGACGAGGAGGAGGGAGGAGGAGAGGAGGAGAGGAGGAGGAGAGGACGCGGGGCGCTGTCTCTTCAAAACGAGGACCCAACACCACAGGATGGTTGGGAAAAAAAACTAGTCTTGGGACGATTTCTCGATTAT